AATTTCGACTTTGATACGTGATCTTTTTAACAAAACAAAAAGAAATATTAAGAAACTTGTTTGTAAAACTATTTGTAGAGTCTCGGAAGATGGCCAAGGACCGAAACTGGTTAGACTTAAATTCTATATAAAATAAAAAAACAGTTTAAAAGTGCAAAATCAAACTATAGATTATTTTCTTCAAAAATTTTTACACAAATCGTCATCATTTTGTCTCTAGTTTTAGTGATTAAATTTATGCCACGACTTACAGAAACATCCTGCACAGGGTGGTTCAAATTTGATATCCGAATAGGCTAACCCGGAAACTATAAGAGTTAGAAAAAAAATAGTTTACATGTCATGATCTCGTTTTTCGAGAAATTGGTAATGCCGAACACCTTAAAACGCTATCGTTTTTTGTTTTTCCCCTAGAGGCCAAAAATGAAAATATCGTAAAACCAACAAGTGCAATTATCTTGGTTATTATTATAGGTGGAGTATTATAACTGAGACATTATATGGACACTTTTTTACAAAGAATTTCATGACGTAGTTAAAAAAAATTTTTAGGGTTTAGATTTTGAGATATCATGACAATTTTAATTTTTTTAAATGGAAATAACCACTATTTTTTTCTGATTATAAAAATATAGGGAAGTTTTAGAATAAATTTAAAAATAACCTTTTTTTTAGTGTCGTCAAAGAAATTTAATTTACAGTTTCCTATAAATTATAACTAAGAATTAAAAAAACATATTTCTGATATTTGAAACAAATACATTTGTTGAACTATTTAATTTATATTTGTTTTACACAAAAGTTGGAGTAGATTGCATTATTTCACATTTTTATTAATATTTAATATTATTAAACGACTTAATGAATTATTGATAGATGGCGCTCATATATTTATTTTTTTTTTAATTCAAATAAACAGCAACATTTGTTTGTATTCAAAAATGTTGTGAAGTGTCAAATTAAAAATCCTATTTTTTAAGATGGATTACGAAAATTACGAAAAGTTTAACGTGTTAGAATGTTACATATTAGAAAATAAAGTAAATTTTACATAAATTTTTAGTAGAATAATTTTTAGTTATAGTACCGTAATTTACAGGAAACTGTAAATTTAATTTCTTTGACGACACTAAAAAAAAGTTTATTTTTAGCTTTATTCTAAAACAGTAAGAAATAGACCTATCTAACCCCATATTTTTGTAATCAGAAAAAAATAACGAATTTAATAAGCGAATTTCCATTTAAAAAAACGAAAATTGGCAATATCTCAAAATCTAAAACCGGAAAATTTTTTTGGACTACGTCATGAAATTCTTTGTAAAAATGTGTCCATATAATGTCTTAGTTATAATACTCCACCTATAATAATAACCAAGATAATTGCACTTGTTGGTTTTAAGATATTTTCAAATTTGGCCTCTAGGGGAAAAACAAAAGATTTGAGGTTTTCGGCATTAGCAGTTTCTCGAAAAACGAGATCATAACATGTAAGCTACTTTTTTTCTAACTCTTATAGTTTCGGAGATAGCCTATTAGGACATCGAATTTGAACCACCCTGTACAATCGTAAAACTAAAAATTCTGTGTTTGTGATAGCTGTCATCAGTGGTCTGTGATAAAAATAGACAGGCACCAAACAATTTTCAATAGTTTGAGTCTGTCTATTTTGAGAAGTCTTATATTTTTAGAGAGATGAAAACAAAAATCCCGTTTTTCTCAACATTATTCATTTGTCGCTTAGTCAAGTGATGCATAAGGCAGTGCAATTGTTATTCAACCCAAATGTTTCTAGTTCTAGTATTAGCTCTTATTTTAGCTGTTACTTAGTGTTAGATTGCTGTATATCTTTATTGAACTAGAGCTGACACTAGCACTACACCTAACACTAGACTTACGATTAGATCTAGAAACATTCTGGTTTAGCCGTTTTAAGACACGCAAGACTAAACCCGAATGTTTCTAGTTCTAGGTCTAGTATTAATTCTAATCCTAGTGTTAGCTTTAGATTTAGTTGTTCTTCAGCTTTTGATAGTTGTATATTGTTCAATGAACTAAAACTAAAACTAACACTAGACTTAGAACTAGAAAGTTTTCGGTTTAGCCGTGCGAAAACTTTCTAGTTCTAAGTCTAGTGTTAGTTCTAGTTTGAATTGTTATTCAGTCTAGATTGTTATATATCTTTATTGAATTAAAAGTAGAACTAACACTAGTTCTAGAGCTAGAAACATTCTGGTTTAGCCAAACGTCTCTTAAGACGGCTAAAGCCGTATGATTCTAGTTCTAGGTCTTGTGCTAGTTCTAGTGATAGTCCTAGTGTAAAACTAGAACTAACACTAGACCAAGAACTAGAAATATTCGGGTTTAGCCNAGAAATTCAATTTACAGTTTCCTATAAATTATAACTAAGAATTAAAAAAACATATTTCTGATATTTGAAACAAATACATTTGTTGAACTATTTAATTTATATTTGTTTTACACAAAAGTTGGAGTAGATTGCATTATTTCACATTTTTATTAATATGTAATATTATTAAACGACTTAATAAATTATTGATAGATGGCGCTCATATATTTATTTTTTTTTAATTCAAATAAACAGCAACATTTGTTTGTATTCAAAAATTTTGTGAAGTGTCAAATTAAAAATCCTATTTTTTAAGATGGATTACGAAAATTACGAAAAGTTTAACGTGTTAGAATGTTACATATTAGGAAATAAAGTAAATTTTATATAAATTTTTAGTAGAATAATTTTTAGTTATAGTACCGTAATTTACAGGAAACTGTAAATTTAATTTCTTTGACGACACTAAAAAAAAAGTGTATTTAAATAAAACCGAAAAATTTTTTTGGACTACGTCATGAAAGTCTCTGTAAAAATGTGTCCATATAATGTCTTAGTTATAATACTCCACCTATAATAATAACCAAGATAATTGCACTTGTTGGTTTTACTATATTTTCAAATTTGGCCTCTAGGGGAAAAACAAAAGATGATAGCGCTTTGAGGTTTTCGGCATTAGCAGTTTCTCGAAAAACGAGATCATGACATGTAAGCTACTTTTTTTCTAACTCTAGTTTCGGAGATAGCCTATTCGGACATCGAATTTGAACCACCCTGTACAATCGTAAAACTAAAAATTCTGTGCTTGTGATAGCTGTCATCAGTGGTCTGTGATAAAAATGGACAGACACCAAACAATTTTCAATAGTTTGAGCCTGTCTATTCTGAGAAGTCTTATATTTTTAGAGAGATGAAAACAAAAATCCCGTTTTTCTCAACATTATTCATTTGTCGCTTAGTCAAGTGATGCATAACGCAGTCTAATTGTTATTCAACGTTAGATTGTTGTATGTTTTTCTTTGAACTAAAAGTAGAACTAAGACTAGACCTAGAACTAGAAACATTCTGGTTTAGCCGAACGTCTCTTACGACGGCTAAACCCAAATGTTTCTAGTTCTAGTGTTAGTGCTTATTTTAGCTGTTATTTAATGTTAGATTGCTATATATTTTTATTGAACTAGAGCTGACACTAGCACTACAACTAACACTAGACTTAGACCTAGAAACATTCGGGTTTAGCCGTTTTAAGAGACGCAAGACTAAACCCGAATGTTTCTAGTTCTAGGTCTAGTATTAATTCTAATCCTAGTGTTAGCTTTAGATTTAGTTGTTATTCAGCTTTTGATAGTTGTATATTGTTCAATGAACTAAAACTAACACTAGACTTAGAACTAGAAAGTTTTCGGTTTAGCCGTGCGAAAACTTTCTAGTTCTAAGTCTAGTGTTAGTTCTAGTTTCAATTGTTATTCAGTGCTAGATTATTATATATCTTTATTGAATTAAAAGTAGAACTAACACTAGTTCTAGAGCTAGAAACATTCTGGTTTAGCCGAACGTCTCTTAAGACGGCCAAAGCCGTATGATTCTAGTTCTAGGTCTTGTGCTAGTTCTAGTGATAGTCCTAGTGTAAAACTAGAACTAACACTAGACCAAGAACTAGAAACATCCGGGTTTAGCCATACGTCTCGTAAGACGGCTAAATCCGAATGTTTCTAGTTCTAGATCTAGTGTTAGTTCTAATGATAGTGTCTAGTTTTAGTTATTAATCAGTGTTAGATTGTTGTATATTTTTCATTAAACTAGAACTAACACAAGACCCAGAAAGTTTCGGGTTTAATCGCGCGTCTTCAGACGCAAAGAAATTTTCACATAACGGATTTTTGGCTATAACGGACACTCCCTTCCCCGTATTAATTCGTTATATCGAGGTTTTGTAATATTATAAAAAGAATTTTATTTAAAAAATTGACCTAAAAATGTTTTGCCAAGAATTATTTTGTAAAGTATCAAAAAAATATGACTAGAAATTTGTAGTATCATTTTGACATATTTATGTTACATATAAGTGTTGGCAGATACTTTCGAGATCATAAAGTTGTTTTCAATGTTGTGTGTTTGGAAATTTTGGCATTGTTTATGTTTCAAAAGAGAAATGTTTTTTAATGTTCTTTTAACTTTTATACTTATGCAGTAAATAACCATTTATCAAAACAGAAAAAGATAATATAGACTCGTTCAATTAGCACATAAATTGATATTAGTGTGTATTAATATTAAATGATCCCATACTTAGTTTAATTAGCATCAAAATACAAAACACAAAAAAATCATTTCTTTATGTATTCTTTGTGATTTATTTATTAGTTCGGGTGATGTCATGTGAGATTTTTGTTTATTAAACCACTTGGCAGTGGCGGAGAGAAATAGATAGAATATTATTAAAGGGGGCTTAGAAACAATCAGAAGTTTCCAAACAATTGTTAAAAAGAAATTTAATCTGCCGGTTTCATTGAAACGATTGGACGATTACAAAACGAACTCGTGACTCTCTAACGTGTTTATAAAATAAAAATATTTGCGGTGATTTCAGGTTATGTCAAGGTTGTGTGGATTGGGTAAAAATAAAACGGATTATGTTGGTGGTATCACTTACCGTACGTTATCCTGATGCTTGTAGGTTCGTTTTCGCGACAGGAACAGCCTGTTAAGTAATGCCATAAGAGCGAATCACGAAAACATTCGGCCAGCATTTAAAAAACGAAAAGAACAGGAAAAACGACCTCTTTTCTTTAATAAAATTGGGGCGAAAAAAAGTCGGAACTCCGGGAGATCGCGACCGCCTTTGCCAGGAAATTTGTCACTGTACCGTTCGGTTGTAAATACACGGTCGGTCACGTGCTTCGCGTGGTCATATGATTTGCTCGGGTCAGTTGTTTGGACAGTGGCACAAAAACTTTTTCCGCAGGAAGCGTGTGCAAGAACCCCCTGGCCCCTCAACAATCTTTTGTTTACTTCTTACTGGTGACATCTAACAAGATTATACTTCACTAATAAATAAAATTATAGGCATAGGCAACCAAATATACTCCTTAGCAAAGTGAACTGAATATCTAAATGTCAATAAATTATTATCTTTTTTATTATAAATAAATTAACTAATGCCGAAATTCGGCTGTTGGTCCGAGCAGCAAGAAAACCCGATCGAAAATATTATTTTGCTGTTAGCAATTAGCTAGCTTTATGAAACTTGTCATATGATTATAAATTATAAAACCTTATCGGTTTTTTCGAAACAATCGCTGAATAAACTGTAGTATTATGGCGACATCTAGCGGTAGAATTGTAGAACGCTCACGTGTTAACGAGTGCAACGACACCTATGCGAAGGTAGCCCCCAATTAGATAGGATTTTACATGTATAGTATTTTGATTATAACAAGAGAACCAGTCAACCGATTTCGATAAATAATGTCTCATTCGAAAGCTTAATCTTTGGCCAATACGGAAGTGAAAATGTCCGATTCGAAATGTCTCTCGAATTCCACTAAAACGCCAAAATAATGCGAAGGTACACAAAAATGACCTTTTTTAAGTGGTGATAACTCGTAAACGATGTACTCGATGATCAAGATCTATACGTCATTCGATTCGTCGTAGTTTCTTCTATCGAAATCACAAAATGCCCGATTTTAATTCTCTCCCGTTAACCTTGTACAGCCCTCGGAATGACACCGTGTTCCGGGTGGCTCCTTGTTTATGCAAATGTGAACGCCCGAAAGTCTAGCCCCCAATATAAAAAAATTAATTTAAACTAAATCGACTATAATTAGAGAACAGTTTGCGGATTTTAATGTTTTATATCTCAATCGAAAGTTTATGCCTGGCTAAATGCCCGATTCGAAATATTTAAGGATTTTGATTAAAACATAAAAAACGAATTAATCAAACACATCAATTATCTCCTTAACTAATTGACCAATTTTAGTCATGAACATCTCGATCGAAAGTACGATCTACAATGAACGCGAAGGTGGAAATGCCCGATTTCAAAATTTACTAATTATTTGCGTACGGCTATTGAAATGACCCCGCGAATCTGCCGACTGGAAGTCTAGCCCCCAATACGAAACAATTAATTTTGATTAAATTCGCTTTAACTAAAGAATGGTTTGACCGATTTTAATGTTATATATCTCAAATGAAAAGCTTGCGTCTGGCTGAATGTAGAAACATTCACAAATGTTATAAACATTAAATTAAATAGGTGTATACACGCATAACGTTGTATTACATGAAACTGTAAATGCATTTTTCTCGAAACATCCTTTTTACATCTGGTTAGCACAATACCTAAAAAACTACTCATTCGATTGACTTGAAATTTGAACTGCACTTTCAAATAGCATCTTTCTATCGTATGATCTACAGAGAAACTGACACGATATATACATGATTTCTTTTTGAGGTAAACTTATCGATTTGAAGAACAAAATCGATTATCTTAATTTGACTAGGCGCCATTTTGCCAATAAAATTTTTTTAGCTTAGTTCTAGTTCAAACGATAATCACAAGTACATATATAGAAATAAATATAACATAATTTGATTTTTGAGTTTCAGATCATTTCAAGGATAGATATTGTGTCAACCAGCAACTTAGACAATCCACGTACCTACTTGGTGAAGGGACAATTTAAAGATTATTTTCTATAAACAATTCTTTTTAAATAAGTAAATATATCATGAAAACATATGCAAAAGATTAAATTGAAATACTACATAATTTGGTAGTAAAAAATTCCCAAAGAAATCATTTTATTTGATACAAAAAAAGAGACTCTCCCATTAAAAAGTTTAAATTATACTGGTATTATTTGGAGTGGTTTACACTCAATTTCAAATTATTTCATGTTTTGACAATGTTGATAATTAAAGCTTTATAATTTTTCAAGCACAAAATGCAAAAACTTATTGAATAGTACCGTTTTTCAAGCACAAATCCAGTGAATCGCGAATTTTCCCGATATGTTTTGGTCAATTAATAAAATTGAAAACGACTCGCCGAATGGATGTTGTTTCCCTTGGATTTTACTTCGAAGCTCAGCTGGAAAAAAAAGATAAATTAATTTATTGTGACAAAAAAAAAGAATTAATACGATACCTTCACATCCTTCAACATCCATAAAATAGCAATCCCATGATGTCCTATATCACATCACTAATATCACCTAACAGCCCCCAATATAAAAAAATTAATTTAAACTAAATCGACTATAATTCGAGAACGGTTTGACGGATTTTAGTGTTTATATCTCAATTAAAAGTTTGTGTCTGGCTGAATGCGGTTGTCCAAATGCCCGATTCTAAATATTTAAGGATTTTGATTAAAACACAAAAAACGATTAATCAAACACATCAATTATCTCCTTAACTAATTGACCAATTTTAGTCAACAACATCTCAATCGAAAGTAAGATCTACAATGAATGCGAAGGTGGAAATGCTCGATTTCAAAATTTACTAATTACCTGCGTACGGCTATTGAAATGACCAACTGGAAGTCTAGCCCCCAAACTTTCGATTGAAATATAAATCATTAAAATCCGTCAAACCGTTCTCTAATTATAGTCGATTTAGTTTAAATTATCTTTTTTATATTGGGGGATAGACTTTCTTTTGCAAGAAGTGTTAAACATTGAAGTTCGATTAGTGCGTTTTATTTTAGTAAAATGATGTAAGTTTTATTTGAAATGTTTCGAGAAAACGAGTAATTTTTTATTGAAAGGTTTAGTTTTAAAACCAAAAAACGATTTAAAACCGCTTCGGCCCGTCGTCTTTACATTTTTTGTTTATTCACCTCCAGTATTCCTTCTTCCCACAATAAATTAAGGAGGGGATGTTTGGAAGTTGATTCGCTAATAACGCATTTTAGTTGATATGCGGGCATTTAAGGGTGATAAAGTAGTTTAGAAAAATAAAACTTATTACTTAAATTAAGTGATAAATGCGTGCTATATTTATGCTAAGTGTTAGGTGATATTAGTGATGTGATATAGGACATCATGGGATTGCTATTTTATGGATGTT